TAGAAACCCCCACCTATTGCAACTCCCAACTCGTAAACCCCTCACTACCAGCCAGGTTGTTGCAAAGAGCGAAAACATACCCGAATGTGCCCTCTCCAAGCTTGCAAATGATCTCATATGCCTTGATACCGTCGCAACCCTTAAACCTCGGCTTGCCGTTCGCGTCGACTGTCAGAGGTCTTTTTCGTGGCGGTTCCGAGCCGGAAGGGCCGGGGCTGTCTCTCTTCATCATGTTCATTCGCGAGCTGCTGGCTGCTGTTACTGCTGATATCGCTCTGCCACCAAATCCGATGCTAGTTGCTCCTCGTTTTTGCTGCTCCTATAATAGAGGTCTTGGTGCAATTTAAGGGAGTGTCGTTTGCGTTTTTTTAAACTCACACACAGAGAATTAACGGCGGGGTCAAATGGTGTTAAGCATGGAAATTCTCGAGGAAAGGGGGGAAGGATACGATGAATCTGAAGTAGGAATGACGGGGAGGGGTGTAGATAGAAGGGGAGAGGAAGAAAAGAAAGAAAGATGAACAGAGAAGAACCAGATACCTATCCACTGCCAACTGCAGGCAGCAAGGTGTGGCTAACGAGGGATGATGATGGCAGCAACGCGCCCGATTGCCGGGAACCTTTCCACCCACCGAAAATATGTATGATTGCAACCATCACAACAACCAACCCATACTGCAACGTGGAGTTAATAATTAATTCCTACTGAAATGCCCACGTCTGTCTCTCTCTGTCTCTATCATAGTTCAAAAATTGCAATAATCGACCCCCATTCCCCGCCACCATCATCACCATCACCGCCACCTGTATCGAAATCAGTAATAGGAGCTTGAGCTCAATATATTACCTACTGCGCAACATAGTGCCAACCCCCCAATTCATATCCCTGTGATCATTCCTTACCCCCCATATATATATCTCCAACTAGAGTATCCCTACAAACATACCCCTCGCCGTGATCCGAAGCCACGATTCAGTTGTTCTGCACGATCTACTCCATGCTTTTTCCATGCTTCCCCAACCGATTGACAAACAACGTATTATGTACTCAGGGCCGGGTAACATTGTTCGTTTGCTACATGTTACATTTGTGTGTATGTATGTAAACGGTACAACGAGAATAGTCCTTCCTTTGTTTCCTGGGACGGCCACTTGTCAAAGGCTGTCCTATTGAACTCCATCTGAGTGATCGAGATGTCAATCTTCGGTCGCTTTTGCCAGGTTGTCGACCCGTACAATGCCGATTTGATCACCGATATCCCGATGTCGTGGTATGAAACCCGACATTCCTTAGATTCACTTGGGCCTAACCGAGAACTCATTGATGCATAATGTGACGCTCGATTCATCGATACCAGAGCGGCACTTCCGGTTTTCTATATGTTCTTTTTCCCTTAATGCGGACCCCTGGCAGCGTCAAAATCCTACTAATTCAGATACGGGACGCCAAAATCGATGATTTAGTTCTTGTGACGTTGAGCCTACACAAACCAGTTCCGCTGCTGCTGCTGCTGAGCCCTGAAAAATAATCTCCATCTAATCTTTACCGGATGCCCGTATGCGGATAGAAAAGGAAATTTGTCCGTCATAAAGTGAGGCCACATCACACAGTGAAAAAGAGCAATTATTCACCGACAAGCACCACACTAGGTGGCCAATTAATTATTATATTTGTCGAGATTTACTGTTAAAGAGAAGCGCGATGAGATTCCAGTATCGATTAAATAAGGGCTTTCTATATATACGGGAATCTACAAATGGAGGCCTGAACCCTTGTTCATGGATCATCACTCGCATGAATCTATTCTCGGGTACCTATATCGCTAAGTTTTTATGTACCAGCATCCAATTAAGATTCGTTTTATACACTATCTGGTATTTATTATACTAGCAAGAGTTCAGTTCCTGGCAGGGATCTCTTTTCATGAATAATTAGTCACCAGGTGAATCATGAGATATCACCCGATTCGACAAAAGCGACAAAAGGAATATTTTAAACCAGACTTCAACCAACCCAGGCAGCTGACTACCAAAACCTTTACTACGATCTAATCTATATTTGCCGATAGTTATTTAAACACTTGAATTAAACTATAACGCACGACTTACCCAATCTGCAGACGGGCTGCAAACCGCAGCCCTATGAACAAAAGAAAAAAAACTCAGGTATGTCATTTCAAAGTCACCTGCATATAAGCATCGAGAGGCCGAAGAATATCGAGAAACGAGTCTTTATTGACATATTATCACCTTCTGTGGTCAGCTAAGACCCTACCATAGAGAATTATAGGGCGAAAAATTAGAAAACCGGGGGTGAGTTGTGATTGCGCTAAGAGCGTTTCCGTTTCAGTCATACGAGCTTCCACATATCTTCTACAGCTTTCTGAACCACATAGTATCACCACTTCAGTAAGGACAACACTCAGAACCCGTCAATATGGAAGGAGCAAAATCCATTACCTCCTCCTGCTTTAGGCCCTACGATGCCTTACTAAGGAAGGCTATTTGAGAACCAAGTAAGGAAAAATGAAACGAGAATTGGAACGCCGCGTCCCCCTAGCTAACCACTGGCAGCCATAGAGGAAGGAAAAAAAACAAAAACCACCAGATTCAACGGCAGAAAAAAAAAAGGGGAAAAAAAAAAGCAAACTTCTAAAATCAAATAAGAGCGAAAAAAAAAAAAAAAACAGACATCCGCTACACCAGGGGTTCCAGACCAGTAGGAACTTATCAATTACATAATGGTGCATTTTCCACCGCCTGGTGGAGCGGAGGGATTCTGGGCTTTCTCCACTTGTTCAATCATCAGCTCAAAAGCCTTCGCGACATTTTCGTTGTGACGGGCTGAGGCTTCGGTCCATGCGCAATTCCATTCTTGTGTAAGAGCTTTCCCTTCCTCAGCGCTGACTTGTCTTTGGATATGAAGATCAGATTTATTTCCAACAACGACGATTGGAACCCAATCAGCTCCCTATATCGTAAGAACGAGCACCATGTTAGCCACTTATGGTCTGGATAAAGGGATGAAACATGAAGGAGGGGGGTGTGATGAGAATTAGACGGAATAGGATGGCAAGTCGGGTTTACAAATAACTATGGGTTATTGAGCGGAGCTTACCAAATGTGTAAGGACTTTATCACGAATGATCTTGACCATCTCAAACGATTGCTGAGAAGCGACGGAATAAACCAACATGTATCCGTGGATACCAATGGAGTGCCTGGAGTTCAGGATGCTGTACTCATCCTGAAAATAATTCGCCAGGGAGGCGGCAGGGTCAGTATTTAGTCATAAAGAAGAGAGGAATGAATCATTCGAAGTCAGGAGATTAAAGGTAGTAGAGGGAACACGGAACCCCTACCTGTCCAGCGGTATCGATTATTTCTGTGGCATACTCTTGGCCCTTGTACTTGATCACTCTTGAAAACGTATTTTCAATCGTTGGATAATAGGATTCGACGAAGTGGTTCTCGACGAACTGGACCGTGAGCGAAGACTTGCCTACATTTTATGAAGTGTGGTCAGCCACAGTTCGTTGGACCAGGAGGTCCAAGTAGCGGGGAATGATGGAAGAGAAGTTGATGCTTACCAACAGCCCTGCTGCCAACGATAGCGATCTTGCGCTGTTTAGGATGGGGAGGTGCCATTATACAAACGATATGCAACTATCGGTATATTGGGATGGGATAGGAAGTATCGGTGATAGCTGGAGTGGGTGGGAGCTAGAAAGGGAAGAGGCACTGTGGAGTTAGATGTGTGAACAGTGAATACTCTAGAAAGTGAAGAGGTGGTTGAGGACGGGTTGTGTCGGTGTTGAGAGGAGACGCGGCTTTGCCTGTTGAACAGATCACGTCGAAACTACGTCGCGGACTCAGTTCAGGTTGAACAGAGCAATCGCAGTTCAGTTCAGTTGGCGACTCTACGCACTAAATACACCCACACTCTGCCTTCTACTTGTGTGCTAGCAAGAGCCAGTGGGGGGAAGAGGACAAGGCGCAACGCAAAAAATCAAGCAGACGGATGAAAAGACCTAGGCTTTCTTCCTTCTTTCCTGGAAAGAGAAGATCAGACGCTAGCAAAATGGACGAGGGTGCTATGTACTCTACAGATGTATGCAGCTCAAACAACCATTATCAGGCAAGCTTTAACTGACATGCAGCGGAGAAATCTGGAGTAAAAAACGGTGGGCGGTGGGAGATCCTGAACTACCTAAAAATGTGATTCTGATTAGATTGGCTTTTTTGGCACGTTCATGACACAACTTTCTTTGTTTCTTGTCTTTCCTCCCGGTGAGGATGTACATGCTCCTTGGGGTAGGTAAAGATGGTTTCTGCGACTGTGGTTATATGCGGTTAAACTCCCCACAAGCGAGCAAAAGGGAGGACCACACTCGTTTAGCATTTTGACTAACGTGGACTGGTAGTAGTAGGAATCACATGTTTTTCCTAACCCACAAAATGTAATCTTGTGCATGCTAGGTAGGTATGTAGATGTAGTAGACTATGACTGCAAAGAACACGTCGAGAACACTGAACGGGTAAACTCAGGTATATGTACCTACCCACTTATACATGAGGCAGCTTCAACACTATTGATTCAAGTTACACCCCCAACATGCATCAATCACTCTTAAAAGTATAACAAACAATATTGCGACCGTCATTCTGTTCTTGTGACTATTTCCCTTGTAACGTGAGAAGCAAATCGCATTTGGAGCGACTAATACAACTCATGGGCATAACTTGTTGAGATGACCCATTCCAATCAATCAAATATACAACAGGTTAATTATAAGAAAAAATAAGTTTTAATTATACAGAGAAGTAGATAAAGGGAAAAATACAGAGAAAAATGATGGAAAATCCCAAAGCAAACCACCGATTAGCAGCTGGATGAATATATCATACATAAACCTCATTAGGGCGTCCAGTTCGCTAACTACATGCAACTTTACGGTTGCAATCAGATACGGGGACCAAAGTAATGTACATTATAAATTTTATCCTTTCCTTAATCTCCTGACCATCTGCTCCAGCCTTTCTGTGAATGCCGCATTTGGACCATCATCATAATTCTCATATTGGTCATCCACCTTCCGGTGATGCGCGATGAACTCTTCAAGAGAATTGAAGAGGGGTTGGAGCGTAGCGTTCGGCATCCTTAGCCGTATTTTCTCCTGGATATTACTATTTTGGCACAGATTTCCCAGTAAAATTGAAAGATACCCGAATGCAACATTGGATTGGGATTCTTCTTCCGAATCGGCCTTAAAAAAATTAGCAAGGTAGAATTTCGAAATAGATGTGATTGAAATACCTCCGCTGCCCGTTCCTGTCGTTCAAGATATATATGAAGTAGCTCATCAAGGAGTGTCTTCTCATCTTCTGGGGCACCTATTGCACAATTAACGAATTAAAATGCAAATAAGGGTGTTGATTCAGCGAACAAACCTCGATCATCTACGGCGCATCTGGCCCTGTCACTCAGCTCTGCGAAGTTGATTAGAAGCCCCAAACTAAGAATCAACAGATCTAGCTTTACGAGACGTTCGTTCATTTCGAGACTAAGATCCGCCAAATCGTCGAATTTGGTACATACCATCCCCACCAATACTGAAATGAGCGATGACTCGGCAAATGTATTACAGATCGACGCACGGTTGTTCGTGAGATTGATAGTGAATCGTAAAATCAGCAATAAAATATCGTTGACATCGCTCGTTTCCATCTTGATCACAGCCGGAATAAGGGCCGCCACAATCTTAAGTTCCGACGGAGAAAATTGCTGCTCTGCAGGAACCCGGTTCCCAACTGCATGGGATTCCAGGGTTGATACGGCAAGCTCGAGCACAAAAGTGTCCCGGGCTTTCTCAACGCCCTTGAAATTTGTAATAGCGAATGGATTCAAAATATGCACTAATTTTCCCAACCCACCAGCAGATAAAATATCATCATCAACACCAGCTTCCCTAAGCTTTCTCACAGATTGTTCTAATACTTTAAGAGCTATAATCTGCGGTGAGAGGATTTTTGGCCGCCTGTTGGAAAAAATGGGTGATTTTTCAACCTGCGTGCGGAGATCCTGGACCATACTCTGTGTGGCTTTCGACATGTTTGTTTTCCGGTCTTTGGCGATGATATAAATATCCTTTTCAAAATCAAGCATACGAACAAGCATCGGAATTGAGCCGTTTTTACGAGCCTGAGAAGCTATTTGCACCGTGGAGTCTTCAAGCAAGAGGCAGCAAAGGATGTAAGACAAGATAAAGCAAACGATCTGGTTGTGCCGATTCATTAGACACCTTACAGTCAATCATCAAATGAAAATAGGATGATTCCCTACCTCATCAGTCTGCTTGTTGAGCTTTGTAAACAATCTTTCTGTGAAATTATTGGCACGGAACTTGCTGATGAAGCTTTTTTCTCGCATTTTCCCCGCTAGTTCCAGATAACTACAAAAGGAGTAAGTAAGACGGCCAGGTCTCGATAGTGTGGATAAACATACCCAGACCTCCGCCTACTTAGAGGGCTGTCTCCCTCAATATCACCGAATAGTTCCTCGATATCATCCAGGAAACGGTTGTTCACCCCAGCCTCACGCAGCTCATGGATGGTCTTCATCATTTTAGACCCAGTTTCACCCTCCAAGTCCTCGTCTTCTCCCATACCATCATTGCGTTTGCTCCCGAAGGATTGTTGTGACATCACAAGCGGCACATTGAACATGGTGTTTTCATCAAACTCTTCCGTTCGAAAAGACCGTTGCCGTGCGTAAGTAACTTTTGGGCCGCTGTTATTATAAACTGGTTTGGCGGTGGGTTCTATGGTGAACTGTGACTCCTCCATTGCAATATCAACCTCTGGTTGTGATTCGAATGGATTCCGAGGTTGTGAAGTGGATTGTTGAGTATGATAGGTATATTCATCCAAACCCTCGTCACTGCTCTCTGATTCGGACGACGACATCATTGGATAATCAGGCTTCCCGGCCCCAAGCCTATCTATGAGCCTCCTGCGCTGGGGAGCTGGTAGTTCATCACCACCACTTTGAAATATCTCCGAAAACCTCGGAACCCTCTTAGCTCCTTTGGATTCTCCTTCTGGTTTAGGATTTCTGTTGGATAACCCATCGACGTGTGCAACTATGCCGGGAGAATAAGGAACCGAATCCCGACGATTTTGTTGAGATAATAGTGGAGATAACTGTGTCTCATCAGAAATCACTGGCAGAGTAACAGGTTTAGCAGGTCCATTAGAAAGGTTAATCTTAGGTTTTGTCTGAGTCGACTTCGTTCGGGCATGTCGAACGGTTTGTTCAGATAAATGTTCCGTCATGACATCCGGTTCAAGTGACAGCTGTCTCCGGGGTCTTTGTTCAGATAATCTCTCAATCTCTACCGAAAAGGAACTCGTACTGAGCTTATGTAATGCCTTTTTCGACTTCGGGGGTACTTCATTTGAAGCTTTGAGAGACCTTTTCGCAGGCTTCGGAGCTTTAGAGATTTCGTCCAGTTTGGAAACAGCCTTGGGGACTTCAGTCGGGGGTTTGGTTGGAGGGAGTTTCTTGATTTTAGCTGTGTCTCTGCCGCCGTCTTTGCTGTTTGCTGCCTGGTTTTCGCCCCTTCTTGAAGTAGAATCCTTACGAACAAGTTTGGAATCTTGAGAAGGCAAGCCGTCCCTTCCTTTCTTGGTTTCCTTCGCAAATCTCCTTATGCTGGTATTAATAGAAGTATTGGGAGCTCTGGGTAACTGATTCGGTAGAGGCTTCTTTCGCACGGCGAAAGATTCTTCGTCGCCACTAGATGGAACATCAAATTCGTCAATGCCGTTATGACGCCATGTATCTTCTATTTGAGGCTGGGGAATATTGTCATCGTCATCACTTGGGGTAAAGTCAAAGACTTTATGATGTTTTGGGGGACTGGTTACAGCAGAATTTGCGATGGGTCGTTTATTCTTTCCCTTCAATGTGGCTTGGACCTTCTTCTGACCATCCTTCAGCAGTAGGCTTGCCCCACCAATAAGGTTTGAGGAGGGGTCGGTTATTATCTGTTGGTTTTTCTGCGCCTTGACTGTCTTTGTTGTAGTTATTGTAGGGACTCCCTTTGAGTTGTTTCGTTGCTGTTGCTGCTGCTGCTCCTCCCCCGATAACTCCTCCAGCTCTTTCGGTGAATCTGTAGATGTGAAGATATCGCCACAAACCACATCCGCGTATCGCTTTTTGGTTGACTTTCCGTAAGTCGCAGCTGGGCGACGACGACGTTGAGGGCCTTCCATCGATTGACGCGTTTTGTAGTTTATGGTGGAAGAGATGCGCTTGCAAGAGATGCGCTTGTGAATAAGGAAGGATGTAGGAATCTAAGGAATATCATATGCAAAAATATGTATTATGCAAAGGCAGAAGCGAGCGGCTTTCAGCGCATGGTGCAGACGTCAAGAACCAACGGAGGGATTGTGTCGTATACCGTTCCTCAATCTTCTCCATGTCGTAGGTATCGCGTCCTGCCTACTTGGGTGTTGTGGACCGATGTCACCATGCCAAGAATGGCCCCCCTGCATCCGCACTTTGTGCAACCTTGACTGCATCTATCCGTGCTCATTGCTATAAGTTTTAAGAGCTTCATCGCATGTAGTCTCGGGCCAGACTGCAAAGAGCTCTTAGGCTGGGAGTAGAGTTGATGGTTGGGGTGGCTGTACACTAACTGGGCATTTAAGCAGGAACCGATTGCAAGATTACCCCCGCAATTGACCAATTGGCATAGAGAATTTGCTCAATTCCAGAGTTCACAAAGACTATGTGTTCTGCGCTCGTTGTAAATTACGATCTTTCTCTTGTATATTGCCCCTTCCAGCCTCTTAGTATATGTAGTATTTGTATTGTCTCTGGCTTGTCACATATTTCAACCTTGCACAAGCTTAAGAACCACATGCATGATATAAATCTGATATGTGAGTACATGTATGTACGTATGTAGCCGTTTCTATTACTCGTAATTTCATAGCGTTTGTGAACACAACTGGGTTGCATACCCGCAAAATCCTGCATGAGGCTCCAGATTTTGGTGTATGCAGACCCAGCTATGTTCACAAACGCTATGAAATTACGAGTATAGCCCTTAAGACTCCTATATACTATATCTAGATCATCTAAAATATGTTTGAGCCTCCAGCTTCGGAGGATTGGTAAACGTTTATCTTCATAGTCTATCACTCGTCAATAATACTACTTAGGTTTAGCTAGATCATCTACATCCAGGCCATATATTTTACTTTTAGGGCTTGATAGCCTTGGCGCAGGGTGGAATGATATCTACTATAATATAAAAGAATATGTCAGGTAAGAACTTTCGGGAAACCCTAACCCTACACCTGGCGCCCTCACCATTGAATGGAATACAGCAGGTATCAATCTCATAGCTAAAAAAAAAAGGATAAGATGAGGTAGTCTCGGAGCTGATGGGGAGGCCTGCTAGAGTAGAGTAAGGGCCCGGGTACCTGTACTCGGGCTATAAGAGATCAATCACGGGTGCTAGAAGGAATTTAAATTCTAAAATACATATATATATACACGGCCTTTGGAGCGGGACAAATAGTGACCCGGGGGCTCCCTAGTATTAAAAGAAAAAGACCTTTCTAGTCGGATTTTCAGCTAACAGAGTCCTACGATAAAGTCCAGTCCTACTTACTGTAACTTGAATCGACTAATCGTCATTTCAAAGATAGATTCTTGCGCGCGTCTAATCTTACTAGTTCATTGGAATACCTGTCTGTTATGCTAACTGCCCCAATAACGCAGATATATAGACTATCAAAAAGATCCCAATAGTTCCTGCGAACCTATACTCACACGTTACTTAAAAGGTCCGAATTCTTTACGAAGCTTGGGTTATATATATATACGACTTCGACCTTTTAATTAACGAGTGAATATAAGGCTTGGTCTGATTGAGTACGTGTATAGCTCTTATAATTACATCAAATTTTAGATCATACGATCAGGCACGATGTTGGTCTAAAGAGCGGAATCCTTACTTATTTATACCACGCATTATAAACCTAAATTATAAATCGTATATGTGTATATTATAATTAATGAATTAAACAAAAAAAAAAATCGTACATGTGCACCTAATATGACAATTGGTTTTTGGTCATGAAATATCACTCGCATATCTGGCGAGGTGAGCTTGATTTCGAGCAGTAACAAAATTGATTTGAAAGAATCAAGAACATTTCCAAAGAAAAAAAGAAGTTCAAAGCGCTACAAGGTACATGAAGCACAAGATCATATAACAAAAATGTAAACAAGTCCCATTCCCGGGGTGTGGCCATTATCCCATAAAGTCGTACCAAGAACATATATGCTATAGTACAAATACGTCCAATCATTTAACCGAGTATCCAACCTTTCTATTAAACGATTATGATCTTCCTTGTAGCAAGTTGCGTCTTCTTTGGTACCCTGATTCTCAACAACCCAGCCTCCAAACTAGCACTGACATTCTCAATATCGACCACTCCCGGAAAAGAGAAAGTTCTCTGAAATGGTCCAAATGCACGCTCCGACACCCATGTTTTTAGTTTTTTGGTAGGGGTATTCTCAATAACGATCTTCTTTGTTGGGATCGGAGCTGGTCCCGATGGCTTTTCACACGTCTTCTTTGAGGAGGAGGACGAGGGTTTATCGATAATCTCGAATGAATCCGTAGAAGCATTGTCCGATTCATCATCTGTATCTTCGACTGTGGGATTCAACGATTTTTTTTCCAAGCTAGCAGAGCTAGTTGCCTCTTTGGGTGTATCATTCTGCTCAAGAACTTTCTTCTCTAAAATACCCCGCACTGAAAGTGTCTTGTGATCTGTGAACTGGATATCTAGCTTCGATTTATCGCTCAGCCCTGGAAACTCTCCCTCGAGAACATATTCAACAGCTGTTTCCTGCACATCAAATCTTGGTGTGAATACGGTGCGATACGTAGGTGTTTTATGTACTGGTGGTTTAGGTGCTCGAGACGATGAGGCGGCAGCATTTATTATGGGGTCGAGAAGGGACATAAGTTGTGCAAGGGCAAGTTCTGGAGTAATGCTATCTGGTTCTGCGGGCACTGCTGCTGGTCGACGGGTATTGTAGCGGGCACAGTTATTGTACGTCGACATGTTTAAGCTTATGAGACTTGAAGATTGTACTTGGTATGTAAAGGATCAAACGGTTTGTAGATATTGCGAAGTGAGGTATGATAAGAAGTCAAGTAGGAGTAACGGTGATTGTCTCTTGAAGGAATGGTTTTATTTCACTTTCTTCGCTCGAGCTATCCTTTATACCCATTCAAAAGCACGGTGCTGTCATCCAAAAACAGCTTCTGGAATGTAGTAGTTACTCGCCACAATTTTTCGTTTTATCTAATTCACATTCCTAAGCCATTAGTAGGTGGCTATGAAATAAACCGTAAAGCTCATTCCTGGTGTCTCTAGAGGGTTCTCGAAGATACTCCAATTTCATGTCGTATTAGTAGTATGTAATAAGATCACGAGATCTGGAGAATCCCGGTGATTTCTAAGCCGTACGATGACGGATGAGGCTGAGGAGCCGCATGCGCCAAGATTTAGGACCCTAACAGCAATCGCTTGGGTGCATATCTTGGCATTAGAGATTCGAGATGAAGTTTGAACGCCCCGTGCGTTGAGCTGAGAATGAATGTCAGGACCATTTATAATACGAGTATATAGCCACGTAAAGCTGCATAGTCAATAGTAGGTTACAAGTATGTAGAGCTTTCTGTAATCTAGACTATTCCATCAAATGTACTCTTTGACAGCTACATAGAGGTACATATTCCTTCCGCCAATTAAACGTACACGTATCTTGTATTTACATAAATGCCCTGAACAAAGTGCCCTGAACGAAGTGAAGGGTTACGGGGGTAAGAGCTTATATAGCTCTCTGATTGGCTACTCAATTTGGACCAGCAACCCTAACCCAAAATAGTATCAATATTCCAAATATTATAATCAGATCGTTAATACGAGACTGCGTAGCTGCCCCTCCTTACGAGCGAATATCCCGATAGCAATGCGAAATTTCGACTACAAGCTAGGAGGCACTTACTAGAACCCAATCCAGGACCTTCGTTCAGGGCATACGACTACCCCTAGGCCTGTAAGATAGGGTCAGAGTCTGGGGTGTCGTGCCGAGTCTACCAATTATGTAATGTGTACTTTAAAGCTTATGATTGGCTAAGTTTGGGAAGCTTTCTGTTTCTGTTATATATAGTCTTCTTTCTAGAATGTTTGTTTGAGTCAGTCGGGCAACAATGGAAACCCTAGTTGTTTGAGATATGAAGTTTGAGCGTGAAGTGCAGTTTAAGGCTTCCCGTGATCATTGTGTTGGCGAAGTGGCAGATATATATGCTCGCCTATAGATATTTTTCAGGTCATATATCATTCCCTACCTGCTACAGTCGAGGGCCGGGCAACGCTTATATACTACATGTAGTATTTAGACGCGATGATGCTTGTTTCCCCTCTTACATCTGTTATTCAGGGCTAAACAACTTGAAACCTTCTCGATTTCTATTGGCGGTGGAAATCCCTAAATACATGTACTTTACATTCGCCCATTCAAACAGTCAAAGTATAAGTGCGAATAGACCATATCATCAAATTCGCATGCCCTATTCTTCCAAGAACTTTTCTCAAAAAACACTAAAAAGGTGAGATATGGTGGACAAATGACTATATGTAAGTTAACTTGTACTTTATAACTCCAACGTCCAAGCATCCCGTCCAATGATCCGCAGAAACGCCTGTGCTAACTCGTTGTAATGATTGCCCCTTCCTCATCGTTAGGTTGTATTAAATAAAAATGTTGCTATAGTTTTTATCCATGGTTGTTCACTTTTTTCCTGGGCGTTTTTTGGGGGGTTTTACTTTGCAGTTTACATTCCTGACATGAGTGGACTCTGAGCGTATGCCATTGCCTTGATAGGGGGATGTTCAACAGCATCAAAGACATTGTGTTGAAGTTTGTAATCAGGGCCGATATTGATGTAGGCGCCCTTGTTTCCGGACGTGTCTACGTAGTTCGGAGCGGAGAACACTGAGAGTATTCAGTCATTAGTATTTACGTCTGTGCTTTGAAGAGAAATGAAGTTTCTTTTACCCGTAATACAGCGTCCGTCGTGCTCGACTTCGTAACCTCCCATGCGAACCTCGTGGCTCCTAATAATAGCTTCCAAGCCGTTTCTTTCACAGAAAGCCTTAGTAATATCTGGTCCAAACATCATACCAACACCACGTTTACTGGGTCCGCGGCCAGGCATCGTCTGTGGATCAGTCCAGAGCATTTCCATCATTCTAAACGTTATCATGGATTAGTGACAGAACCAGAAATGAATCAAGAAAGCTCTTACAATCCCTCTTGGCCAGGCTGTTTTCTTGCATGTCTGTTCAACTTCCGGATATCATCCAAATTGACCTTGTCATCTGAAAACAGGCCTCCGTGGAGCACCAAAAACTTTCCTCCGATAAGAGTGGCTAACGGCAATGCACTAAATGACTCTGAGAAAAGTTTGAAAAGGCGCTCGTTATACTTGGCCTTGCACTCGCCCTCAAAACCGTAAACCCTGTTCATGTCATCCGTCTCGTGGTTTCCACGGTTAATGAAGAAATTATTCGGGTAAAGCCACTTGTACGAGAACAAGAGGAATGCAATCTCCGTAGACCAGGACCCGCGGTCAACAAAGTCTCCATTGAAGAGGTATGCGTGGTCTTCCGAGGGGTAACCATTGCGGTTGAAGATCTCAAGAAGATCAAAGTATTGACCTATTTGCACTTAATAAGGCAAAAATTACCACCCAATAGGGGAAATACTCACCATGTGTATCGCCACAAACAGTCATCTTCTTTCCTTCCGCTATGCTAACCTCCGGCATCGTTGGCTCGGCGTAAAAGATTTCCTTTGCTTTCAGAACGATCTGATAGGCATATTTCTTGTGTATTTTCTTTCCGTTCTTAAATCTTTCAATCATATCTGTGATAAATTCCTTGGTCATCTCCTTTTCCAGACGCACACCATCGTATTCAGGCTCGACAGCTATGTCCCATTGTCAGTTATGTCGAATATAATAACAACCTATTTTTAATATTAAAACTCACCCATGGTGTCTAGATTCAAGCCTTCAGCGGCAGAAGGTGGATCTCCTTGCTCGATAGCTTTAAGAAAATCCAACTTCTTTACGATCTTTTCACATTCTTGCATTTTTAGCTTTGCGTCCTTATCATTCGGTGCTAAATAAATGCCGCCCGGTCGAATCGATCATCAGCCTCTAGCTCTTCCTTTTCAAGCTCCAGCCAGATTATTCGCAAACCTTTTCTACAAACAGTCTTAAAGTCCTTCAAGGCCTCTTTGTTTTTAACGATAGCCATTAATGAAAGTGCTCGGCGATAGTATGCCTTGACATATCCCGGATCCAGCTCTATCGCCTTGGAGGCGTCCGCAATCGCAAACCCATAGGCTTCCATTTTTATGTGGGCCTGTGCACCGTAGATACCATCAGAAAACCCGAATAACTTGTTTCATGGTCCAACCACACAGACTTTGGGGAACTAACATGAGCTCGATTTGAGTATAATACGACATTACTCGGATCAAGTTCGATGGCTTCTGTGTAGCGTTCGACTGCGGTCTGCAGGTTTCACTTCATGTCAGCATGATTTCTTCCACACTATTTATGAACTAAAACTTCTCTGGAACATAGAAACGGGAATAGGATGATACATACCGCCCAGTCTTTCTTTGCAATCGCTGCATTTCCTTGGTTTTTCAGGTCAAGAGCCTGTTCTGCTGGGGTTGCCATGGTTTTATCTTCGGCCGGTGAAAGAAGCGACCGGAAGGATGAGAGTAGAGGAATATAAGAGGTAGCCACGGCCGATAATTTTCAGTTGATACGAGAAAGTTTGAAGTTACGACGCCAATGTGGGGAATGATTTGGGGTTGAGAAGGATTAGCCTCTTGAGTAGCAAGGATAATGGTAGCCTTGGCACGTGATCTTTACATATTCCGGCGTATTCCGTGAAGGCTAACTTGGCAGAGATTAATAATTGAGGATCCTAGTATTATTTGAGGCCTACTAATTTATAAGTACATGCATCCAGGGCATCATTGTCCATAGGATATAAGAATTGTTACCCACAAAGCACTCAAAATTCACCAATTCAATTTTCTGCAATTGTCCATGAATTTCTCTATTAAGTATACAAAAAACTGGGGTCCTGGCTAGTCTACACATTCAAAGAGGTTATAGTTATGTATCTAGCTCTTGGAGTCCTAGATCATCTGTGCCGGATTAATGCTTTAATATAGTTAATTTCTTTCATACCATATTATAGAATTTTATTCGTGCTAAAGGCGAAATTATATGTAGGTAGAACTTTTAACAAATCCCTTCAGAGCTCAAAAAGTAAATACATGAGATAACTCCTCGATAATTAGGATAGTTAAACCTCCAGTGCCCATATCACCACTAAAACAACAACTCCTTACCAATCTCTCGAAAAAGAAATCCCCCCCGTGTAACGAAAAATTGATGGAAATTGCGCTATCGTGGAGTGGTTGCTGGGAAAAACCGCCTCCCAACATAACCATAGGCGCCAATAAATTCGATATCTATGTTGTCATCCATATGGCCTGCAAAGAACTTGGCCAGAATGAACCTCCCGGAACTGCTTCCATTAGTTTAAGGATTCCCATCGCGTACATTAGAGAATATTTGAAACGTACATAGCGGGTTCAAAGTTGATGACGCATTTATTCTTACTATCACGGTTGTAAAACGTTGCATGAGGTTCAAGAAGTGGTATTTGTGCAGCAATTCCTGCTGCATCGGGAGTTGCTTCGATTCTTGACGGACCTATATCAGTATCTCTTAAATTGTTTGCGGTACGACCTCTATAGAGTAAACCAGGAGTTGTTGAAGACTCTATCAAAGGCTGAGATTCACGATCCTCTTGGGTTGTGTCACAGGGGTCTGTTTGGGACGGTCTAATAGCTCGACGATTCTCAATCTCATCCTCACTATCATCTCCATGCTCATCATTATAATCTTCGTAGCGGATCGAATAGTTTGTACGAGTGAGTAAGTTATTGTCGTCCATGGTCACAAAAATCATGCCTTCGCGAACACTATCGCTGAGAATTAACAACAATAGGTTCAGCAAGATGGTTGCCCCATAATCCCCGAGGGGACACAACTTACGGAGAGGTATAGCCCGATGAAGGAGCTCTTATTACCAGTCTCTGAAGGGTGAAGCATTTCTTCTCGACGTGCTGAAGGATCATGTTACAGCGGGAGTTTTTCGTGCAGTAAACTGATGTATTTCATTAGTATATATTCTTCAGTCCCTTAGTAGCTTTCTGGTATCGGACCAGAGCCATCATTACGCAAAGCATTCTCTGGACAGTATTCTGTGCTGGGATAATTATAATATCGATCGCCGTCGTAACTACCTCCATCGCAAGAGTGCAATTCCAAAGGAACTTGAGTCATCTCGACCTGGCCTTCTTCTTCAACCCGACGACGTTTGTTTGTAGAGATGTATTGGCCTAGATTGAGTGATTGCGGCTGCTGTAGCTGCTGACTGGTTATGCGCCGTCTCCGACGTTCATGCTCGCTCCTTAAATTATAGAACGAAGGCGGCGAATTTTGGAATCGCCCCAAGCGTGGGAGAAAACGGTTTGAAGGTCTCACCAAATTGGCTCCAGAGCGAATACTCGCATTTGGCAAAATGGATGAGTTTTCAGAACTTTGTGATGAGTTTTCCTGGGCGTTAAATCCTTGTTTAGTAATGACCCACGATCAGGAAGATCGGGGATTTCCTACCATTACAAACTAGGAGGTCCAAGCTCACAGGATAATTGGGATGTTTGATGAAGGATTTTTTTTAGGTTTTTCGATGAGCCTCGGCTTTAGGTGGGGAAACTATCTCGATGTGTAAAGAATAATGGAGTTAGGATCTTATCTCAGTGTCTAACTGTGGGTTGAGATGAATGGATCGCAAGAGTTTCAAGTGGACACTCATAAGTAAGCTTCCGAGATGGCTGATCACTGGGCCACTAGTTTAGGGTGGCATCGTCATTTCTACACCCCCTTGAACTCTGATTGGTGCTTGCGATGACAAACACAATTCACAATGCACGTCAGGAACCCATTGTTTCAGGAGACTCACGAGGTAAATTTAAGTCCGTCAAAACCTCTTGGAGCACCGTTACACGTAAATGTAGCATTCGTATCTGATTCACGTCATCCGCATTGTGCATGCATTATTATCTTATCTTATCTCATGCGACTGGATCTAATCTTCATGGTTACCCTGCAGGGCTGAATGAAGCCAAACTTCAGTAACGCGCTCTACGCGATTCCACGGGCCTGCACTTACGACAGTAAACCTCATTAAGCTCACATTATGGTTTCCCCAGCTCTAGAAGAAGATGTTCCCATACTAGACATGGGAGAGCCAGCTTCAGCGACGGTTGCTGCCATCGCAGAGGCTCAAACAATATCAGCTGGTAAGATCTAGATCCTCAATTACTTCGTCCTGTAGATCGGCTTCTCTGACTTTTCTGTAGATGAGGTAGCTCTATATGATCGCCAGATTCGACTCTGGGGTATGGAAGCTCAGGCACGGTGAGTTTTTCCGATATTCGTGGGGCTTCAAAGCTCCTACGTTTATCTTATAACTGATTATCTTACGCTGGCCAGAATGCGCAATGCCCACATTCTCCTCATCACAATTCGGTCACTCGCAAACGAAATTGCAAAAAATCTTGTTCTGGCGGGGATTGGCTCCCTCACAGTTCTTGATTCGGAAGTTGTCCATGAGGACGACCTCGGCGCACAATTCTTCATCGGAGAAGAACATATTGGCATGAACGTCTGTTTGTAAAGCTATACGTTCAACTCCTGGAGCTCCAACTGACGTCTCTTTTTACTAGAGAGCCGAAGCTGCTGCACCAGCTATACAACGCTTAAATCCTCGTGTACCGGTACATGTAGACACATCCAAACTTGAGACAAAAGGCTCTAGCTATTTTAAGCAGTTTGACATTGTCATTGCAACTGAGTTGGACTTAGATAGTTTGGTATAATTATAATTCGTAGGCATCTTTATTCGTGCTAATTTCTTTAGCTCTCGATCAACTTCTCAACACGACAATGTGGACGTCCTTTCTACGCGGCAGCAACCTACGGTCTATACGGCTATATTTTTGCGGACTTAATAAAGCACTCTTTTGTCATGTATTTTCAACCCAATCCTTGCATGGCCCTCTTTTTAACCATTTACTAACCAATCTATCTCAGTGAGCGTGAGAAATCGAATATGAAGACAGATCTGAAAAAGGAATCAGCAACACGCACGGTCATCGGAGTCACCGAAAAAAAGGAAGGCGAGAAGACCATTGAGTTTGTGACAAAAGAAGAGGTTTATACTCCTCTTGCACAAGTGCTCAATTGTGAAATCGACAAGACCTGGAAGATAAGAAAGCGGAAGACTGTTCCAGCAGTCTTGCCAGGCGTGAGTGGTTAGTTTTTCCGGTAACACAAATATTCGCTTTGTGGGATTCCCGCTGATTGGTGCTAGCAATGTGGGCATTTCAACAACAACACGGACGTCTCCCGGAATGCACAAGAGACGATTTTGCGGAGTTCACAAAGCTTCTGACAGAAGCTAATCGCCAACTCAATCTTCCCGAGGAAATTGTCCAGTCCTCCTTCATCAGGTAATGGCCAAAATATTCTTTTCAGCAGAAAGTTCAATTATTGACAACCTTTAGCTCATTCGTCGAGAACGCCACTTCCGAATTGGCACCAATTTCTGCAATTCTTGGTGGCATCCTGGCCCAAGACGTGATCAACGTTCTTGGAAAACGAGAACAACCTTTACAAAATCTTTTAGTTTTTGATGGAAATACTAGCGTTGGCCCAATATTTGCTCTGCATCCTCAAGATGAGGACTAATCATTTCTTAACATCCTACTCATAATAGAACTTACACGATTTATTGGTACGGTCGTCTGTTATTTTCCTCCTAGCCTTTGGCAACTTCCCGTGCATATCAAAGGTTGACCCAATACCCATTTATTTTTGGCAGATTATCTATCCTTGTTGTATTATTACCTGGTGTTATTCTGGAGGTGTGGACTTGGAGATTTGGAGTTTGAAATTGGCGCCGGTAGGAAAGATGATCAAAGTACTTGAGTGCTTATTTATAGCCCACGTATCTGTTTTGTGATTGTAGTAATTAACACGAATTATCACGCGGCCCCTCCTATGAGATTAGTCAAGATTTATGGGTCGGGATTGCGAGGTCAAAAATATCTTTATGCCTGCCAGAACAAAGGGAGATTATGTTCAGTGCTTAAAGTAGGTGCTCCAGACCTAGTCTCGTCCCTGGGCCTTTATCGCAGCTTCTGCGGGCACCTCAGGCCTTACGCCCCCAAATTAGTGTCAACGCAATGCGTTGCCTCTTGGTCATGCTGGAAGTGCGTGTGTCTTTGCGCAGAAATTTCAACATCGTTGTAAAGTACTTGACTGGAGCACCAAATCCATGCCACCATACCCCTAGAGCAAAGGCGCACCTAGTAGAATACACGTACCCCACCAGGCGTTCCTTTTTAGGGCATAATCCCGGCCTATCGATACGATGAGAATGGAAGGAAAGAGCAGTCGATATATAGAATTATCATCCCTCCCACTGCACTGAAAATCCCAAACCTAACCCGCTATATAGAGAACCGGTAGGTCTTCACAGCATCCTCGGGGCTTAAACGCCAGCATCATCGCTCTATGGGACTTTAGTAGTTGTATCGATCGCTAAACCCTTCAACCCCCGAGCGGCTGTTTTGGTGGCTTTGGCAAGGCGAAACCATGGCCAGCTTGCCGGTGCGTAATTGCAATGTTTGGTGGGCGAATCGATGTCCCATATCTAGAGTTGGAGACCCAGAGTGATCAATCGGGGGTGTTCTGCAATAGATTGGTCAATTGGTAGGTATTCCATAGGGAATCTCCACTCTTCTATCAATATCAACATGATCATTGATGTAAAGGGCAAAGGGAAATGATCAGGAGGAAAGAAAACTAGCCATAATAACCAACTTCTACAGATGACCTGATAACTACAGTTACCCCGCCAGTCTGCAAGGATATGATCTACAAACAAACAAAAGACCTAATCTTTCCATGGATTTTTGTGGCTTTCATCTTTTATATCGGTCATTACCCATACACGGCGCACCGGCACCTAGCTAGCCATACCAAAAGCCAGCTCCATCACTGCTCCCCCCATTAGATCTATGAAATAAACGATCCTTATAACCCACAACCCCACTCACGCCGCGCCAGAGCCTAAGCCCCACTTTACCCAGTCCGGGTCGAACTTTCGATACACATCGGTGATCTGCGGGGTCAATGATCGGGATTACAAGAAATTATTCTACCAAGAGCGGCGGGAGGCACGGGCAAGGAATAGCCATGGGGGTGAAGGATGGGTTTGTTTTAGTCTTTACGGAGGGTAGGGGGCGTTAATGATGTATGTTTTGGGCTTTGTAAGCCCTATATCGGTATTTTTCTATGCGGCGGGTTTGGGGATAGTTCCTCTCATGAACGTGCAACAAACATGCACTAAATAGTTGATAGCAGACACCCCCGGTTTAATTACTCAAGCTAAGGCACGCAACACCCAGCTCTATCTTCAAACCGTAGATTATCCTACACAGCGATACCGACACCACCCATAAGCACCCTCGTCAAGCCGGCCTTTCCATCAAAAACGAATTCACCGCATTCAGCGCAGCCCTCGCCGGATTCGCCTCCGCCCTCGACGCGGATATCCACGCCAGCCGCCTTCTGATGTACGCTTTATCCACGCCCGCCCTCTCCTCCGCCGACAGTCTGCGGAAGCGTCCTTCATCATCATAGTACAAACACAACACCACCAGCGCCACCGCCGGCGCAACCTCATTCCCAGAGCTACACACCACCAGCACCTTCCTCCCCTCCTGCCCCTGCGCCACGCACTTCTCCGCCGCCGCCATCACGCCTGCAAGCTCTGTGCGGAGGAATTTGGTGCCTTTTTTGCCCTCGGGGACTGGGAACGGGATGGTCTGGCACTTGGTGGCGAGTGGGGTGGCGGTGCAGTTTATGATGATGTCGTAGGAGTCACTACCCTCAGAGCCTACAGCGCCGATGTAGATGTCGCTAGTAGGCTTAACCAGCGTGCTTCCGCCCCCGGCTGTGGAGGTGGTGGAAGAGACAATGGCGTGTGTGAGCTCTAGCAGCTCGTCGTCATTGCGGGCCGCGAGGAGGGGCTTGTGGTGTGCCCAGAAGAGGGCGGGGGTGAGGCCGGATTCCTAAAGCCACACATATATCAAACCGGAAATGATCATATATGCACTATAAGGTGATAAAGTGGTAACTCACAAGCGCCCACCCTTCATGGTCGTCACCGGCGCCCTGGATGTACTCGCCCTCGATGCCGCCGCCCTTCACCATCTGCGAGGCCGTGACGAGCAGCAGCGGTATGAACTCTTCAAACACCGGCGGCGATTCGGGCAGCGGTGAGTCCGGCGTTATCCATATCGGCCTCAGCGGTTTCGTGATGACCCGTTTTATGGGTGTGAGGTCTAGCCCTAGTGCCTAGTTTGATAATACAATATATTACTACATGTATACTATACTATAGCTAGCTACATGTATATATGTAGCTGGGTCAATGATATGGGAGAGGGTCAATGATAGATATGCCAGTACGTACGAGGAAGTCGTCGACGAAGCCCTGTAGCTTCTTGTTGATGCTGCTTGCCTCGCTGTCGGAGACGGCTTGCGGGTTCTGCGCGAAGGGGCTGAGCTGCGAGGGGAAGACGAGTTTGTTCATGACGGCGATCCAGATGGGGATTGTTTTTGAGAGGGAGTCGGGGAACCTTTTGGGTGTACTTAGCTAGTGGTCTACAGTGGAGATAGTTCTAAGAGGGAGCTGTATCAAACCTTTTCCCTCTCCGCGTCGAGTCCACGATAATTGCTCTACGAAACACCACCCACACTCAGCACACATTCACTTCACGTATATCTAAGTAACTATCTCTACCATAAACCACCAAAATCAAACCAAAAACTCACCCACGCCCGCCCGCCCCCTCCAGCACCTCCACCAGCCCCAGATTCAACCTCCGCAGCGAAAACATCCACTCCCCCACATGCCCATCCGTGCTCTTGAAATACACGCCGCCCTGCCTGCGCTCGGGATCCACATACCAGTCGCCCGCGCGCGCATTCGTCACCACCGGCACACCACCACCGCCGTACGCGGCCCGCACGCGCTCCACGAAGGCCGCGTCGCGCGCAATGCTGTGCAGCCGGTTGCGCAGGCCCCGCGACGACCGGCGCACGCTGTTTGCCAGCGACCCGAAGCTGGGCGCGAAGGTGGCGGTCAGGGCGGCGGGGATGGAGGCCGGGGTGAAGGTGAACTCCTCTTCGAATTCATGGACGGCAGAGACGTCATTGTGCGTGTCTGTGTCTGTGTCTGTGTCTGGTGCCATTTTGATTTGTGGTGTTGCTGTGTGGTTGGCCTGTTGGTGATAGATAGAAAAAATACAACGAAGGGAAGAAGAGCACAGAAGAAAAAGCAAAAGCTCCTCCCCAGCGGATGCCGCTGCCTTTCCGATGTTCCCTCGCGCCCTCGCTCCCTCGCTCCCTCGTGTGTTGCAACAGGCCGTGCTGCTGCCGCTGCCGCTGCTGCTGCTGCGTTGATGCGCGCGCCCCCCCCGGGCCCGGCTGCTGCTGCTGCGACCAATCCCCGGGCGAGGCAAAGGCGGGGGCCCAGATTAGCGAGCGTCATGCGCGGTCACTCGGCGGCTGGCATCACTCGGCGCGGGTTTTCAATATGGCTGGCTGGCAGTGACATGACACTGCAAGAAATTGCGGGGAAGGAAAATTTTCACCAATACATGCAATTCCCCTCCCCCTTTTTTGGTGTGCGTGTATGCGTGAATGTGAAATGCACATGATGGAGGGGAAATCTTTTTTTAATTTGTACGTGACGTGCTAGCTAGAGTATCTATCTATCCTATGGAGAGAGGGAGAAGGGAGGAGAGAGTGAAAAAGAGAGAGAAAGTGCAACCTCAATTGCGCAATTGCTAATGCGTACCTCCAGATCACTCGATCCACAGGCTTCGCAATATCTCAGGCAGCCAGCCAGCCAGCCAGAGCGATTGGTCCTCTTTCCTCTTTCCCCCCTTCCCCTCTAGCCCCGCGCTGACCACAGTGTACTGTAACACTGTCGTTTCGTTTCTCTCCTCTTCCTTCCTCCTACTCCCCCGTCCAAAGGTGGTACAGTACAGATCAGTAAGCATTTCATTCCCGCCCATTATACCATATCCCCATCCCCAATTACAATACCGCCCGCCTCTTCCCCCCCCCCCCAGGCCTCAAGTCGCCGGGGTTTTACCTAACAGCAAACCGAATACCGGTTTTTGCCCCCCCCCCCCCCTTTCCTTTCCGGATCTGATCTTGCATCACATCATGAGGGGTTCTCGTTACCGCACTCTCTGTGCCTTCGGAATTCAGGCCGGCCACGCATGGTTTTGGCATGAGTGCGGGACGTGAGGTTGGGGCATGGGGCGTATCTGCGGGCCCGTGCCGACTGGCCAACTAGCTGTTGGTTTTATTTTCTCTTTCTGTGCTTTCTTCTTTCCTTCTGCGTTCTGTCTTTGTCCTGAAGTAGGTAGGTAGAGTACATCTAGGCAGCGTAGTGAGGACTCGACTCCCCACGGCCCGGTTTGCTGTGACAGGAAACGATTGTGCAAGCGGTCGGATTCCATATCACCCCTCCCCTCCACTCCACCCCCTCCACTCCACCAGTGCAGGGCCCTTATCAGAGACACCCAGGGGCCGGGGGTGGGACAAACCTGCTCATGGGGCGTCGAGCTAGGCGGCCGGGTGAAAAGCTCGGGAGCAGGACCCGCGGGTACGGGGCCCGGCCGCTGAGGCGCCGTGAGCATGAGGCGTGACAGCTGTTTCTGGGTGAATGTACGTACAACGTTAGCTGTCTGTTTTGGCCGTATGCAGGGAGAATTATATCTATATATATGTGAAAAATGAAATAAATAAATATAACACTTGGGTGCTATTGGGTCGGGTTGGGGGGTTTTACCGGGTATGGGTGCGGTGATCATGATCAGCCGGTTCCACGGTTTGTGCTCTGGTCGGGCAAATAAGTTATGTACATGTGTATCAAACAGTTTTGTAGGTAGAGTATGTACTGCGGGTGAGATAGTATGTACGCGGTATGTACGGGGACGGGGGGAGAATATTGGTTTTTTACATGCAGGGCCAACTAAGATACGGAGCAAAGACAGCAAGGAAAGCAAGGAAATAAAGAAAAAATAAAAGAGAGAAAGAAAAGGGACTTTTTTTCTTTATCTAGCAAATTCGATACTCACCCAGCTAACGTACCAGCCAGCCAGGAGTGAGTGATGTGATGTGATGTGAAGGTGGTCCCGCGGGTTAGGGGTCCGGTCTAGAGAGAGATAGCTAGGCGCTACATATATCATTTCCACTCGGTCCAAGTCCCAGTCCCAACTGCAGTCCCAGTCATGTCATGTCACCAAACGGCCAATTCGAAATCCGGCAGAACGAAAAAAAAAGCAGCCGTGACCATGACCTTGACCCTTTTTCCTGCGGTCATGAGCGGGGTGGTGGAGGGGATCCGGAGCTGTGGGCGCTGGAAAACAAAATATAGAAAAAAATGTTTCTTGACCGACTACATATATTAACCCGCCGTACGTACTTGCCTTACCGCCCTGGGGTAGAGTACTCTGGAGGATACTAAGTATACTCTGTGGATATACAGATATAGAGCACCGTGCCAGCCAGCCATGGCCAGTCTAGAAGTACACATCTATGTATCTACATGGGGGAGGAAACAGTCATGCTCAGCTATATTGCGTACTCTACGAGTTAGATTCGTCTCCATCCAGCATCCAGCGCGCGTGTCTATCTAGATATATCGCTCATGTACAGCCTCGTGCGGTACTGATCTGAATCCAACAGTCCTCCAACTAGTCCCTCACAATTGATACCAATTAACCAGTAGTAGCATGTAGTGCCAGCCATGGCCGCAATTGTAGGCTGTAGAGCACATATATGTAGTTAGTCTCCTCTAAATATAGCCCCCGCAGATCCCAAAAGTAACCCTAGCTACACTCGTCCACTTCCCTGTAGACTCCAGAGCTCCTTAGTCATGCCCGGTCGTCTTTGAAACCTCCAGCTCAAGTGATCGGCACACAGACAGTTGAACTGTCAGCTGCTCTAAAAATGGGGCTCGCATCCGCAGCCCCAAAGCCGTCAAAGAAGAAACAACCGAGCACGAGGGAAACGAAAGATCCGCCGCGGATCGAGGTCTGTGTGTAAAACAAACGCTTTGTGTCTGTCTGTTTGTGGGGAAGCCGATAGATCAGCTGTGCTCGAACTGTCAGTTCGAGCCTTTGGGGCGATTGGGTGCCGCTGACAAGATAGAGATACTACTGTGTGTAGATACTGAACATCATGTAGATAGAGTACTCAATCGACATCACCAAACCCCCCAAGTCCTGATCTCTTGACACGGGTCCGTGCGTGGGCAGATATCACGACATGTACATGTCCATCTCAAGCCCTCACACAGCATTGGAGTTTTTCCTCTCGTACACATGGTACAGAGCATGTTTCGTTTGCATCTGAGCTGCGTAAACACATAACGTCAACCGCTCTCTTGCCTCCTCCTCTCGCTTTCTTTCCATTTCCCTCTCGCATTCCCTCCTCGCGATCGAAATCGATGCCCCCCGAAAACTCACTAAGCGAGGGGGTGGTTGTGTCGTTCGTTTGCTTAATTGCCTATCTCGTGAAAAAAGAATTTCCCTCGATTCGTCGATGCCGCATCATGATCTCCGATTGGGAGGTCCTTTTTTTTCCCCGAGTGATGCTGCGTGATTGGCGTAGCGCCGGTCTAGAATCTGGAGGGTTCTCATTACATTTCGATACCCCCCATTTGGCTATCTTTTTTTTTCCCCCTCCACCTGCGATTCTTCCTAGGAGATGAGCAGAGCTAGAGGGGGGTTTCTTTGCTTTCGCGCGAGCGCGGGATTCCCGTTTGTCAAAAACATGGCAAAGCAGCCATGTCCCGGTGTGGTTGTTGTGAATCGTGGTTTTGGGCCGCTATCGGTTTCTTGTCTGTACATTGCTCCGAGTATGTAACTGTAGTTATTTAGGAAGTTCTCGACTATTACTAGAGTGAACTCCTCTCATACAGGTACAGGTTTTGATCTGGGCCGAGTCAAACCCAACCCATACCACGGGCTGCTGCTGCTGCTGCGATCCCACCCCGCAAATTCGAAATCGGGCCGAGATATGGCGCTCGTGCGGTGTTTGAATAAGGCGGATTTGCAGCAGCTTTTGATCTGATTCTCCCCCACACTATGCTGTTTGCAGGGGAGGGAGGTACGCTGTCAAGGATAGAGTACCTAGTGTACATAGGCCTGTGTTTAAGATTTGCTCTACTCTACACGTGAGCGTGAGAGTGAAGGATTGTGGATGTAGGTTCTGCCAGAGACAGCACGTACAGCAGCGAGAGGCGCACTACATCGAGAAGGTACAATTCTTTACTCTTGGTAAATATACTTTCGTGGGACGAACCTTTCCATACCCAGCCAGGTGTACAGTGCGCGGGGGGAAGAAGGGACAAAAAAGGAGAAACAAAATTACAGGCACCGAAATACTGTATCCATCCACCCACCCAATCGACGCCTCCGAAACAAAACAAAAAAACGGCTAGGGCCGGGGGGAACATGCTTTTTTTTTTCTTTCCCTCCTCTGGTTTCTCCGATCGAGATATCGATTTGGGTGTGCGACAGACCGCCAGATCTCTCTTGCTCCTTCCCTGCCGGCCCTCGTTCTCTATCCTAGGCCTTCACTTCCTCTATTATCTATCTATACGTATGATAGTACATACATGTATTGCAGATATCTCTGTCCTGTAACAAAAAGACAGGGCCGTGCTGCACAAAGACAATAAATGATTGTAGATCTCTTGGGCAGCTCGCGGATTGTGGATTGCTTTATTTGGAGGCACACATTATACAGTGTAGATCTCCCAAGAAGTGTTGAAGATTTTGGCGATGTTTTGTTTTTTGTCTTTCGTGGACCAGGTTTGGGGGATCATTAGTGGGGTCAGTTAACAGCTCTCCATGTAGTGAGCTACCCTTGCTATGTATCAGGGATTCGGGACAGACAGACAAGGGCACTTGAGTCCAAGTCCGAGTCCGGGTTTTGTTCTGTTCTGTTCTGCCCGGTCTGCGTTAACCAAAAAGAAAAACACAGCTATATGGCCACCGAACTGACCATGACAATTAAATACTGGGACCGAATTAATGGTATTTCCAAAGAGGCCGACTGCTAATAGTTTCTTTGTCCGGCGGAGCAACGCCCCCCCCTCTCTCTCAGCTGGCTTGGTACACCGGCGGCGGGAAGACTTCCACCCCTCCCCTCCCCTCCCCCACCGTGGGGCTTTCTCCACGGGTAGATATCGTGGCTTGGATACGGCGCCTTCGGCCTACCTAGCTGGGCACCCGTACCGCGCCACTGCCACTTCCGACCAGTGAGGATGGCTTGGCTCAGGCTGGCTGGTTATGGGCTGACTGACTAACGGATAGACTGACTGGCTGATACAGACTTCCTATCAGGGAAGGTCGGTCTGTCAATCGGAAGTCGCCGGCGGGGACGGTTAGAGTGAGGGAGGATTCACGGTGCAGCAAGCATCATGTACTCTGGCGGTACATGGCAGTGGAGTAATCTTCACCCCGCATTCGAGATAACCGTACATGGTGGGCCGGCACAGGAATGTAGATAGATAGATAGAGTGGCAGCAGGTAGTAGTCAGACTGTGCTTTCAAAGGCTGATATCGTATCTCGAGGTAGGTAGAGAGTGTGAAGCAGGTATGGCCTGGTATGGATGGACGGACGGACGCAAGTGTCGCAAAGTGCAGCATGCCAGAGGCGTGTATATATGACTTTGCACATATATCATATGAGCTGGAGTTGGATTTGGTAGGTCTACTCTGCTCTACCTCTGGAGGCAGCTCAGCTCCAACCTCTCTACATCATCGTACTCTATCTCACTCACTGCTCCTCCTCCCCACTCACCCCTCCTCCTTCCTACTCCTCCCTTCTGTAACTGTACATACCTTCCCTCTACCACGACACCGAAACAGCCAATTTCGAATCCCACCGGCAATAGTTTGGTAACAATATAGCCACAAGCACAAGTGAGTTGCGCACAAAGACACAAAGAAGAAGAAGTAAAAAAAAAAAAACACAATAAAAAAATAATAAAGTACTATAACCCTAACGAGACCGACGAACCAGAGCAGCCCAACGACGAGCAATTTCACATCCAGACAGAACAGTAATCACCAACAGAATGTCCCAGCTACAACCGGAGGAGCCAGCGGTGGCTGCCCCCATCGGCCCGCAGTACAAGGAGGAGAAGCCGGAAGCCACGTACGTTCCTGTTTCCCGGGAAAGAAAGCAAAGCAAAGCAAAGAAAAAAAAGAGACCCTTCTTCCCTGCTTTTCTGCTCCTCTCTCTGCCTTGTCTTTGCCTTGTCTTTGCCCTGCCTGCCTGCCTGACTGCTCCCTTATCTTCTTGCTGTACGTGATTTGTAGCTGAGTGAAGAGATAAAAACTATTGCGTGCAGCGTGTCGACTCCCATCAAGCATTCGAATGTGCACATTCTTCCGCAGACCCCGCAGTTGATTGCGCTGCTCACGTGAGTTCTTTCCGCTTTCGGAGCTGTCTGTCTTTATGTTTCTTTTTTGCTTTATCATTGTCACTGCGCTCTGCTCTGCGCATATGGCCTTGAAAGTCGCTCGCTGTACCCCGCTATATATGTACCCTTCCATATACCCAATCCCACCCCTCCCCGCAGGCTGGTGCAGCAGCCCGGCCGTCCATCACATGAAAGCGGCGGCCAACCCCACACCGCACCCACCACCATCTGTAGCTCCATTTCCAATGCGCGCCACTAACACCAACCCCCCAGCATGATCCGCGACAAGACCACCGTCCGCGGCGACTTCATCTTCTACAGCAACCGCATCATCCGCCTCCTCGTCGAGGAGGGGCTCAACCACCTTCCCGTGATCTCGCACGCCGTGACCACGCCCACAGGCCGCTCCTACCAGGGCGTCAAGTTCGAGGGCAAGATCTGCGGCGTCAGCATCATGCGCGCCGGCGAGGCCATGGAGCAAGGGCTGCGCGACTGCTGCCGCTCCGTGCGCATCGGAAAGATCCTCATCCAGCGCGACGAGGAGACGTGCATGCCCCGCCTCTTCTACGATAAGCTGCCCGAGGACATCAGCTCGCGCTACTGCCTGCTGCTGGACCCGATGTTTGCGACGGGGGGGTCGGCGACCATGGCCGTGGAGGTGCTGATCTCGAGGGGCGTGCCGGAGGAGAGGATCTTGTTCCTGAACCTGATTGCGAGCCCGCAGGGGATTCAGGGCTTTGCGGAGAGGTTCCCGAAGTTGAGGATTATTACGGCGTTTGTGGACCAGGGGTTGGATGGGAAGAAGTGGGTTTATCTCTTGCAATTGTTTCTTTTGGGGGTGGTGGTGGTGGTGGTGGGTGGTGTTGGATGATGTGGTGTGGTGTGCTGTGCTGACGGGTGTGATATAGTTATATTGTCCCGGGGTTGGGTGACTTTGGTGACAGGTTCTACTGTATCTGAGGGTAGTGCGGTGGTAGGTTGTAGATCATGTCTTCCCCTTTCCCTTTTTGTTTTTTCTTCATGTTGCAATAGCACAGCTGAGATATCACTGATGATCTGGAACTATCAAAGAGAATAAATAAACCAACCAATCAAGCAAGCAATCAATAGCAGTGCACTCAATGGCCGATTTTCGTAGAAGTGATATAGGAGCATTGAAGACCCATATCTCGCAATTGTTTTTAAACCAAAGAACCTGTTATACAAAAAAAGTAAAAAAAAAAAATATAAAAAAAAAAGTAGTTATAAAAAAAGAGATCAATGGAGTGATAATATTATAAACAGCCGAATTTTTTAACCAGTTTCAAAAAAAAAAAAAGCCATTGAAGCAGCTAATCTTCATCATCGTCATCCAGCCCAAGAGGCTGCCGGGACGATCCCCCATATCCCCCACCACCACCGCCGCCGAGATCGTCATCGTCATCATCGTCATCTAGGCCCTCGAACCGGCTGCGGTTCTGCTGGCTGCTGCTTCGAGCACCGCTACCGCCGCCAGCGGAGCGGCCCGCAGCCTTATCCTTCGGGTTCGCAACCTCGTCGCAGGCATCTACCCACTCGCTGTAAACATCTATCGCATGCGATAGATCTGCACCCACAACCGTCCAGTTAGCCGCCTTATCCCGGCATAACTCGGAAGTGCATGTTTATTTATTTTTTCTGCGCGCGCGGCGGCGGGAGAGGGGCGGCGCCGGCCGGAGGAACGGGGAGAGTAGCAGTATGGTAGGGTAGGGTAGGGGGAAAAACGTACAATTGATATTGGCCTGGAACGTTTGGCCGCAGACCTTGCAGGAGAGGGAGCCGATGCCGGCCTTCTTATCGAGCTTGCAGGTGACGGCCTTTTCGTGGTTGCAGAACAGACATGAGAAGGATGTTGCTAGGGGTTCGTTCTATCCTTGCTGTTAGCACTGGGTCTCTCCCTCTGTCTTGTTTGCGCTTGTGCTGTTGACACTGTGCTGCGGTATAGCTTCACTTGTACCTAGCTACCAGAGCATCACATGGTGTAGGCTGGTAGGTATGAAGGTAGAGAGAAGTAGTAGTAGCTCGGGGGGCGGGGGATAAGGATGGGGTGGGGATGGTTCTAGTCGCTGACCTTCTTGGGGCCTGTCGGCTTTTTGGCTGCCTTCTTTCTCTTGCCCTGTTCATCGCGAGTATTAGTCTGGGCGCCCGCTGTCTTGGATTGGGGGGTGTGGATCCAGGCCAGGCGGGGGATCGGAGGGGAGATGGAGGTCTTACCATAGCTATTCGGTAGTTTTAACGAGCGGGGGGTGGATGAGTTGGTGATCACTGAACGCTGACCACGAGGGTTTGTACGGGTGTGTGTGTGTGGTGGTGGAGGAGGTCTGCTTTCTTTATTCTCGCAAAAGATGATGTCGAACGCGAAAAAGAGGAACGCGATGGATGCAACCTTTTCAGGGGCGGTGCTTAAGCCACAATTACCGCTAGCGCGTGACGTGATGAGGCTAAAAAAGCTTGGGACCACAAGCCACACACCGCTGCACACACCCTAGCCGGTTCCAGCGGGGAGCGAGAGCTAAGCAGCAGCAGCTACGAGACAAGCTAGACAAGCGAGAATCAATGAGAGCTGTGGTGGAGTAGCAAGCAGTAGCAGTTGGTGATATCGATGGTTATCTCTGCCTGGAAGAAAAAATAGACGGTCTTTATATACGGTCTCCCAATTATGTCACTGGCGGAAATGCACATCATTGTGTAGTCAGATCGCTCATTTGTGGCAGCCCCTGTGCCACAGTACGGACGTCGAGCCTGAGGAAAATAGAGGTCGATTCTATCATTGACTCTCTATCCCACGTGACCCGCGTAGCCATTCCCAAGTGGGCAGCCAGCAGCAGCTAGACAAGCGATAAGGGAACAACGACACCCGTGAGATAAGTTCCTCAGCTTCCGGGACGGGAACATGCCTGCGCGCAGCAGCTATCGAGCAAGCAACACTGCTGCTGCTGCTGCTGGTGGTGGTGCTGCTGCTTGTGCTGCTGCTGCTCACGATTACTCCACTGGGGAAAGAACCGAGCCCTTTCTAGATCTCTCTTCGCGGGGTTACTCTACTCTACCTGCGCTGCTGCTGCTGCAGCTCTTGCGGGATTCAGTCCTAGACAGTTTTAACTATCGTAATGGGGAGAGAAATGACTGGGCCGTCGTGGTAGTGTTGAGTGTTGAGTAAGTGAGCCAGAACGAACAACACAACAGCTCGGAGACATCCCGTGACCGGGTGGGTGTTTGTTGGTTGCTGGCGGTTTCGGGGTGGAGCTGGTGGAGGTGGTGCCTGGAATACCACTCGGAGGAGGAGGAAGGGTCCCTTCCCTTTGTTAATTCACCCCACCTTTTACCCACCTCTTCTCTTCTGTTCGCTACTTCTTCTCTCCTCCCCTTCTCCCGCTCAATTCGATTCTGTTCTCTACTTCTTCTTTGATTTGTGCCCTACATCTCTATCTGATCCGAATCTTCCTTCTGCCCTTATCATCGTGACTGCCCCTCCTTATCCCCCCCCCCCCAAATCTACATACACGCATACAAACCAGTCAGCTTTCCATCCCAACATACGGCAGAACCATCATGGCGGAAGACAACAATGCCCTCCTCGCCCAGATCCTCGCGGCCGTCAGCCAGATCCAGAGCGACAACAAAGCCCTCGCTGCCTCTGTTGACGCCATCAATGGCCGTGTAAATGCCCTCGCGGACGTCAAGAAGCTCAAAGATGCTGCCCGCCCTGATACGGCCCGCGTTTCTGCCCCTCCTGCCGCAGCCGCACCATTGGCAGCCCTCTCCCCCGCGTCCGAGACAAGCGCAGAGATCAAGGAGGAGGAGCCGTCAAAGAGGCCGGCCACCTCGAGGATTATTCTCACAACTTATCCCGGGCAGAGTGGAATTGACCCCATCATCATGAATTGGGGACACAAGGACCCGATGCAACGGGGCCCGGTGGTTGTTTCAAGAGCGGGATCAACTGTCAGGCGCAGGAACGGTTAGTCAAACACGATTTTCCCTTGTGTTTGGTTTTTACTTTTTTCTCTTCCTTTATTATATTTTCTTTTTATATATAGTGTTTTTTCTTTTCTTTTTCTAAAACTAACATCTCTGATCTATCGTACAGCAATTGGTGCCCATGGTGGCTCGTACAGTATTTATCATGCCCTCGCTGTAGCAATTAATGAACTCAAGGTGGACCACAAGCCCGATTATACCAATACTGAGCCTGCAGCCCCTCTTGGGCCCTTCCCTCAATGGTCCGATCCCAAGAAGATTGTTGCGATGGACCCTCTCGGTCATCTTGCGCCATGGTTGTACAAGGATTACATTGGAAAGGAAGATGTCGAGATTCGTCCTACCATTGCAATCACCAAAGCCCACATGAAGCTACCCGAACTCGAGCAGAGTGTGAGGGAGGGTCGATTGAAGGTTGATGGCAAGATCTGTTTGAACGAGTCTGGTGAATTGGCTGTCACCAAGTTTGCCGTGGAGCCGGTCTGGTATCTACCAGGTGTTGCGGAGAGATTTGGAATTGGTATGTTTTGTTATTTTCGCCCTCGTGATATGTTCCCATATTGCTTCTCCCATTTCATCTGCGATGTGTGGGGCCTATTCCGCATCGAGCCCAAGCTTTGAATACCTCTCGGCAAAGCTTATTCCTTCCCCGTGAAACACTTTACCACCCTGAGTATCATCTAAAGACCTCATAAAGTGCACCGCAAGCTAACTGAAAACGCAATTCCGGGCTGGCTGAAAAGATGAGGGAACCCTTCGTCGTTCGCTATTCGAGAATACCGGAGGTTCATTCCCCGAGCTCATCACCCGCGGTGACATCAAGCTGTTCCTTCCCCCAATTGGAGGGTTGACAGTATACTGCTTTGGTGATGTCGCGAAAATGTCCGATCCCAACGTTAAATTGGCCCTTCGGGTCCACGACGAATGTAACGGTTCCGATGTGTTTGGATCTGATATCTGCACATGCCGTCCATACCTTATCTTTGGAATTGAGGAAGCTGTGAAGGAAGCTCAGAAGGGTGGAAGCGGAGTCGTCGTCTACTTTAGAAAGGAAGGTAGAGCGCTTGGTGAAGTCACTAAGGTACGTGTCGACACTCTGCTAGGTCGAATCCCGCTGACTAGCTGTGTAATAGTACCTCGTATACAATGCTCGTACGTGGCAAGACTTTTTCTTTGGATCGATTTCCAACTTTCTATGGCGGTAAAACGTGTTGACTGGTTGGAATCTAGGTAAACGCGGTGTCGACAAAGCCAGTGATTATTTCATGAGGTGAGTTGCCAATAATCTCCAGGAAAGCCCCATTGAATGATCTCGTGTTGACCAAGTGGATTGTAGAACTGAGGTACGCTTCTCGAATGCGGAATTACCGTTGCCTATTCAAGCTTTTTTCTTTTCTTTTTCTTGAAGAACGTTAGCTAACCGTCTTGACAGAACATTGCCGGAGTAAAGGTAAGAGCCACAAAGCCATGGCAAATGCAATTACAAAGTCTCGACCTGCAATACACCGCGTGCTAATATTGATCCTCGGCTAGGATATGAGGTTCCAAGCCTTGATGCCCGATGTACGTACCCACAAGCCCTCCTGTCTCTCATCGCACGATCGCTGTGCGGCCTGTAATGTGGAGGCTAACAATTCTTTCCTAGGTACTCCATTGGTTAGGTATCACGAAGATCGACAGAATGCTCAGCATGTCCAAGTAAGTTAACCTTTTGCCGTGTTTGACCGTTCGGTTGAAAGTTTTTTTACCCCGCATTTTCTAGAGTAAGGTTTTTGTTTCTGACTGATTTTTTTCGTGTAGCATGAAGCACGATGCGATCGTTGGCCAGGGAATCCCAATTCACGAGAGGATTCCGATCCCGGATGAGCTGATTCCGGCAGACTCCAGGGTTGAAATTGATGCGAAAATCCATGCTGGGTCAGTGGGGCGCTTTTTTCCCTTGAATCCGACTCGCGTGACCTGAATCGCGATGCTGACGATAGTTTTTCTGGTATGGATGTAGATACTTCACCACCGGAAAGGTGATGACTATGGAGGAGCTCAGTGCCGTTCAGGGACGTGCGTGGGGTGCGTATTATTAAGGATCCCTTCTAGGCGTAGTAGTTGTAGTAGCAAACGACCTGGTTTTGGCTAACTTCAATGTTAATAGACGACGTGGATCACTGAAAAGACTTGCCTGCATGTGTCCAATGTGGTTTTTTTAACAGCGGGTCCGGGTCTCCTCCCCGATCGCCCCTGAATTCCCGATCCCGAGCTTTCTCGGGTACCTTTTTCCTGGGCGCCGGCTGACTTTCAAATACTTTGTTTAGGGAACCTCGATTGTAACCCCCCCCGCATTCCCCGCTGTTTTCTTAAATCCCCGGTGACACGTTTATATTAAGGATCTTGTGATTACCTGGTATTCAAATCCTTCTTATGGTAATTTCACTTCACATCTCGTGTATTGTACGTTTTTCTGCATTAAGGCCTCTTATGTTTTACGATTCCAATGAAATTTGTCGATACGCTCGAATAATGTCGCGGTAAACTAAGGGATAACCTAATTGTGTTCCCCTTTTTTTCTTCTTTCCTTTTGGAATAATGATCGTGAGTTTTTTTTTTTTATGCTGGGAGGTGTTGTACTTAGACGCGTACGTGCGGTTACCCCGTACTCTTTTGGTAAATGATTCAACCAGTCATGGGCGAATCTCTCGATCTGTATTACTCGTGGGCTGCCTGCCTTGCTCTGCTGCTGGTACTGTTATGCTACTGCTACTGTAATTGATTGAATAACCCTGACTGCCCTTACTTCATACCTTTCCCGTATGACGCTGACGGTGGTAATGGGCAAATGTTCCATGATCGTGAAGTGCCTGTTTGTATCCCAGCCAGTGTACTCAGCTATCCCAGTAATCGTGGTACCCCATATTACGGCAACGTCATCGCGCGCGCGCTCTTCTTCTCATTCCTTCATCTGGAACAAGCCAGTCGTCTTCTAAACCCGCCAAAGGGGCCGAAAGGAATAGGAAAGGGAAGAAAAAAAGGAAAAGGGAAAAAAAAAATTAAATAGTAATAATAATAATTATAACAGGATATGCAAGCTACACTTCGAGCCGTTTCCTGGGCTGCAGTTCCCATGCGAGCATGTACTCTACGTATGTATGAGCACTCTCACTCTATAAAAAAAATTGTTCCAACCGTCATTGCCGAAAGGGGGTAGTAGGGTAGGGTCGATTAGTACTGTAGGGGGAGTTCGGGGTCGGAGGTACCAGAAGTAAGGTACAGACAACAAAGCAGCTCATGGGGGCGTGTGAGACGTGTGCACGACAGGCCATTTGGAGGTACCGAACGAACCCACAGCACGGCGTACCGTGTCTCTGTCTGTTTGAGGATTCTCCCCTACCTGGGGCCAAGCAGAGTAGGTACCAGATATTACATGTCAGGCAGTGGGGTTGGGTTGTGCTCTAGGGTACAGGTGAGTGAGCTCTAACTCTACATGCGCGGAGGCCGGGGGGATGTGGGTGAGTGAGAGTGAGTGAGTTCAGAGTGAGGTGAGCAGCGCAAAGGTAAAGAAAGGTAAGACCAGGCTGGCCATTGCACCAGGAACCGGTACGCTCGTTGTGTTGAGTACCTGGGGGGGGGGGGGGGGGGGGGGGTTGTTCCAGGATAACATGTACCTACATATTCTAACTACCGGAATGCGTCCATAATACACGAGAGGCTACTCTTCTACCGGTGTTGGTTAAGGCGGTGGTGGTTGTGGTTGTGATTATTAGAAGCTAGTATGGATATGGTTATTTCTAATTGTTCTAATTGAGGTTGAGAAGAAGCAGCTGAAGGTGCATTATTCTAGTGTCTGTAGTTTACTTTTACTCCTGCGTGACGGTGTTAAGCCTAGGTTGGTATTTTTACACGGGACCGAGATGGGAGGAAGTGGAAGGGGGGTTGGAAAGTTGGAACGGTTTAGTGAGATAGCGGTGGACTCATTGCAAATTGCGGAAGCGATTGGAGTGGAGTGTTCGAGATGCGGTATGTAAGTGTATGTATGGTGCAGTGCGGTGCGGTGCGTGGGTTGGTCACGATTCCCGGGCTCTTGGGAATTTTGGCTTTCTTTTCTCGTGAGGTACCCGAATGTATCAGATGGAGGGCAGCGAAGGGGAGGGGCGGGTTCTGCGACAGTCTGTGTTCCGCTGTGCTGCTGTGCTTCTGTGCTGCTGAATTAGAATAGTAGCGGGAATAATAATAGGCTGTGGTTTATGGCCGGTGGTGGTGGTGGTGGTGGTGGTGGTGGTGGTGCTGGTAGATACTAAGGAATTCAGGTACTCTGGCTCGACATGTACCCAAGTTACAACACCCACTCGTAGTTCTTCTTCTTCAGCCGGAACAACCACCATCACAAAACGCCCACCGGAGACTTCCAACACGTCCCGAAATACTGATATGGAGGCGTTGTGTTTTTCCGTTATTGCCGATTCCCGCGGCGAGGGAAAGAAGGAAGGGAAGGGGAGGTGCGGCGACAATCTTCTGGGAGGTGTGTGATGAGCGGCGGGCTGACCTGTCCAACGGTACCGATTTGCCCGTTGAGTCGTTGTTGCTCCCCCTGCTCTGCTCTACCCCTTTGTCAGTCAGTCAGTCAGTCAGTCAGGTCAGTCACCGTTTTGTTCGTTAGGCCGCCCAGTGACAAGTCGAGGTTTGCCAGCCAGGGTTTGTTTATGCGGCGGTTGTCATGCGTCTTTGATTCTTCCTTTTTCCCCATCATGTCTGTCCCTCAAATCGTTTTGCCAGCCGCAACGTGTGACCGTGACTTGTGGGTCGAGTGTGTGCCAAAGCATTTTTGTGACCTCAAAACCCAACAGCTCAGATCAAACCCCATAGCATGGCCTTAACCACCTTACTCCCCCCCCCGGTCCCTTGTAGGGCCAGGTCAACAAGGATACGTGTGTCTCGCTCTGGTGGCATATGCATAAGAAGGAATTTCAAAGAAAAAAAGTTTTTTTTTTTGTTGCACCATGGAATATTCTTGAGGAAATTTTTTGAGGAGCTTCTTCATGTGTCTTGTCTGACATGAGTAGTTTCTCATATGCCCATACAATCTCTCACACCCGAAACCTCCCATAGGCCCGTAGAGGAGGTCGTTTGGCGCTATAGGCATGAAGGGTCTCGAAATAGATGGGACACAGGACCAAACGACTGACTCGTTCCCCCCCCCCCCCCCCCGGGGGGGGGGGGGGGGGGGGTGTGTGGCAGGCGTGGTGGTGGTGGTGGTGGTGGTGGTGGTAGGAGTGTGGTTACATCTCCCGTTTTTTTGTTCTCAGAGCCCAAAGTGCACGCTTGGGAAACGCGGACTCGGAACTGCCGCCCCACCATCTTTTTTGCGAGGAGGATCTGGGAAGGTGGGCATATTGGACTTTCAGTGGCAGGAGGAAAAAGAAAGGAAAGAGGGAAACGGGGCCCGGGGATGGTAGATATTTTTTATTTGTTTGAAGATGGTGGTGGTGATGTGTTTCGAGTAGCTAGCTGTAATATCAAAAGCCTAGCTATTTTGTATTGAAGGTAGCTACGTACGAGGTGATTATGATATTGGACGGGTAGCTGAACCGACGACAGCCTTATTTCACTTTGTATTATAGTTTTTTTTATATGTACTGGGTATGTTTTTTTGAGCAACGTGAGAGAGATGGATTTCGAACTCGTATGTTCTAGTAGCAAAGGAATTCCAGCAGGACCCGGGCGTGGGATGGGCTGAACAAGGTACCTAACTAACAAGAATAGGTATTTTGTCTAAGCACAGTATTTTGTTGCCCTGTCAGGGATATATATATCGGGGGTTAGGTACTTTCCAATTGAAGGTCCATATCAAAGGTCGTATTGGATACGAGTAAGGTAACTTAATAATAACATCCCAAATCACGGAGATAAGTACTCGAAAAACAAACAACCTCAAAACCATTCGTCTTGTTCTGACAATGTAGTTAGATCGTCGAGTGACGAACAACACAAAAAAAAAAAAGTGAGAGCCCATGCAGCCCAACTACTTCAGAAGGGCTGCATCGCTCGTACATATGCTGGGTAAGGGGCTGAATTGAAGGAGGAAACACCAGGCGGAAAAAGATGCTGGGAAAGGGAGCCGCATAAGTGTCACGATATTCGACAACTACCTAATTGGTACGTCAGGACCTTATTTGATGTATGTACCTAGCAGACATATCCTCCTCCTTCCGTGGGAGAGAGAGAGAGCCTAACTGCTTTTCTTTCTTTTTCGTGACTTGTACCGACGGGAGCTACGTTATGTTGTGCGTGTCTTCTTCCTTTTTCTTTTCTTTCTATTAACCGTTCCAATTGCGAAAAGGGGACATGGAATTAACTAATGTAGGTACCTATGCGAGGATCCTTTCAGTTGCTGGTTGAAATATATACATATACATGGGACTTACCTCTAACTTTGGCTATGGGAGAATACATCCATGCTAAACTCATGTAGGAGGTAGAAAGGTAGAAAGGTACCCAGCTAGATAGTTTATGTAAATCGCACGGAAATAAAAGAACATTCTGTTCTCACCCTCAATTGCATCTTGGGGAGTCCGGCCCCATCACGGCGGCTCGCACGGGCATCTCCAATTCCATCATACACACCCGTCCATCCCTCCATCACGGCTGATATTGCAAATCCGACGGATGCTAAGACTGGTATTTCCGCTCGTTGGATGGATGAGGCCATGGATGGAGAGAAAGAGGGTGGGGAGGTTTATTAATTGTGATTCGGAATTTTAATTCTTGAAATATATTCTTTGTTGCCCATTTCGAATTGAAGAAGATCCAGATGGTGTTGCATGCATAGCAGCTGTTAAACTAGCTTAGAGAAGCTACCACCCTTCAGAAAAAACAATTACCGAGAGATTTGCCCCCAGCCTTGGGAGCTAGTCTTCAAGCGACCGCGCCAACGACCACACACGCCGCCGGACTCTTCTCGGGGTCTCTCCACAGCGAGCGAGTGAGGTGAAGCGTCTGTAGGTGGACTCTGGTAGGCAGAAGGCCGAGCAGGGGTGAGTGGGGGAGTGGGAGTGGAAGACCGGGGGAAGGAGGGAGGTGCTCAAAGGCTAGTGGGTGACGACCAGCAGACACAGCAGGCCGGATTCAAAGCCGCCATACAGGGAGAATCAACGACCGCACAGCTCCCTTGTCGAGACACACGAGACTTTTGGGACGCTGGGTTGAGTCTCTATTCCTTTTCTTGAGGGGGTTTAGTGAGTTCTATGGAAGTCTTGGTGGAGGTGGTCGAATGGATGGAGTTGAGTCTGTGCTGGGTTCGTGAGGTCCTTTGTCTTGCCCTGCTCATGGGGGGGTGGAGGCCGCGACAAATAAAAGACCTTAGGACCGCACCGTTTCGTTCGAATAGCTGTTCTATCGTTATTGAGTCTGTATCCTGTAATTTGTCTCGGAAAGCCTTCTTAATTGTTTGGTCTTGCCTGCCTTCTTTTGCTCCTTCTTCTGGTTCCATCATCAAAAAATCCCTGGTGTTGTTGTGTCTGATCTCATTGCACACTGCCCTCCACTTACTCTCTCACTTGCACTCTCTTTCTACCCACCAAGGCTCCCAAGCAAGCAATTCAAGCAACGCAATAGGCGGCCTCGTGCACACCCACACCTCACAATCCACCCACCCACAGACACAGACATATTCCAGACACATTTATTTAGATAGAACGTCCTTCCTGCCCTGGCAACCTTTACTGTGCTTTGCCAGCCCTGATTTTGTAACTTGAATATCCTGTTGCTGCTCCCCCGTACTATATTTCTCTCCACATACTTCATAACGCGCATATCGCCGCTTCTCGCTACCTCTCTCTGCTATCCCATCGTTACCTTCGAAACCCGCCCACAGCAGCAGCAGTAGCCAGAAAAAAATACCCCATTTACATACAATTATTTTTTTAACCCACACCGGCCGTTTGTCGTTCTCCCACGCCTTAGCCCTTAGCAAAGCAGTAGCAGCTTGTTTTATCGCAGCTCCCACCACCCACCACCACCGCTACCACACCCTGCGCTAGTTACCACAACCACTACTGGGCAACCAACCCACCCTACCCTACGCCCATCTCCGTCATCTCTCCCTCCCACAAGAGAGTACATCCCTTACGCTCCACTGCTGCTGACACACTCAACCTAATCTGAAATAAATATTAATACCTACTGCCCTCACCCACCATTTCTTTCACTCATCCCACAAAAAACTCCACAACGCAACCCTATCCATACCTGAATTTCAATAAAATCCCTCAGCAACATACATCCATCCAGAGCTTCGCCGCCAATCCAGAAGATCATCCAACCCAGTTCGCCTCATTATTTACAACGTTCCAATCCTGCTTCAACTATATATCATTGTGAGGATAGCCATCAGTACAAACCACTACCACTACTACCACTCAACTTAAATATATACTCGGTCCTTCATCCATCTTCCATCGGTCCATTGGATATTCGACAGGCACTCCGACATACAATAAAAAGTGAAATACTTAAAAAGCATCTTTGCTCCCAAACACCCAACAGCTTACCACCGTGGCTTCAATCAAGAGAAGAAGATCTTCCGACGACTCTTCGTCCACACCATCTAAATTCGCTTTCGCTCCATCAAAGATGTTCATCTCATTACCCAGTCGTTGCGAACCCTCAGCCAGACAGTCAATACGATCACCATTAACGCCTCCGTCGGTCACTCCTCCATCGGTCAGCGTAACGGGGTCGTCGACAATGCAGTGTGAGAGGGATCGTTGCAAGTCTCCAACAACAAAGGCTCATACATTACTCGCAAAGGTAGCGACAGTAGTAGCTACATCGCCTCAACCAACCCAGCCTCAACCCACAGCTCCAAGGATGGCAGCCTCAATATCGAATTCGAGTTCAGCAAGCAACTCACCTCTGTCAACACCACCTAGTGAGGGAGGGCACTTCCCATTCGGCATGATTTCAAAGGAGTTGCCAGAGAGTCCTGATGGTATGTGATGTCACCGGAGATTGTTGAGGTTATCTTGGAAGGCATTGGTGCTAACTGTTTACAGGTGGCTACGTTAGTTTCCCAGTGTTTGAGGAGTGGGATTACAAGTCCGACGACGAGAGGGACGGCGGCTCACCCCCACCACACAAACGGTGACTCCATGTAATCGACCTTGAGGAGAATGCCGACGCACACTATTCCAACGGTGACAATTGGTTCCTCAAAGGCTTTTACAACTTCGGACGTTCGTTCCAACCGGCGACAAATCAGCTTCTGGCCGATCTCCGCTCGTGAACTGAACTTCGGATGAATTAAAACAAAAAAAAAAATCTCCAAAAAAAAAAAAATCTGTTTTAAAAATACTGGGTGTCTATATTTTTATTTTGGCGCGGGGTTATCTTTTTTGTACTTGCCTAATCTTTGTTCTTAACCTCTTCTTTCGGAGCATACATATTCTTGTTTATTATTGCGGCGGCTACTTTTTTTTTTTTTATATATCTTCTCTCTGCTTTCTCTATTCTGTCTAAAAGCAATGTCGTGGTTTCGATGAGTGGGTAATGGGGTCTTCTGTTTACAAAAAAGTCTTGTTTTATCCCTACACTCTTTGGGGCGGTATCATGATAGCCAGCAGCTTGAAAGCTCCGAAGTATCAAACTTGTAACGATTTTTCTTCTCTTTTTTGATTTTTATAACGAACCTTCATGGCCGGTGCTTTTTATTGTATGGACTGGGGGTTATTCTTATTTTTCGGTCAGGCGCGTCATTTGGCATATCTACATTGTTCTCGGCGCCGGATTGACTGGGACTGGCGCGAATTATTTTTTTTTCTTCATGGCTATATTTTCATCTCCATTATTTTTATTTGCTTTTCTTGTGTTCCTGGTGGGATGGGAGGAATCGGGATGTTGGGATTTGCAAGAGACGGGATGAGACGAATTGTACTTGCAGTCTCAACGGAGTGGAGTGACTACTACTACCTACTACGTACTGGTGGCAAAAAAGTTTTTTTCCCTTTCACAGGGGCCCCTCTGCATACTGCGCGCACGAAAAAAGAGAAATTCTTTGTTCCTTTCATCCTATTGATATTTTTTAATAATTTTTTCCCGCGTTGTCCTGTTTTTTATTTCCTATTTCCATTTATTTGTCCCAACCCGGGAAGTTTTGTGGATTCTGGATATGATGTCTGGATGACTTAAATAGTTCAGGGGAGAAGGTCTGCCCTAAAGGCATAGTACAGCGGGAACTACTTACCCGAATTGTTACCGAAACTGAATTATACTACGACTGGAATAGTCACTTAATTACTACTACTATCAGTACGGGAAAAAGTACATAGCTTAGTTTAGTACCTACATAGAGCACTTCTATAAAATAGTTGGCATTTTAATAAACCCTTGACTTCACGCTGCATCAACAGTTTTCTCTCTCTCGCATTTCTTCGGAGTTGGACCCCCCTTGAAGTGAACTGTACTCGGATTAAGGGAGAAGGAGGAAAGGAAAGGTCCGGATATCCGACGCTCACTGTCATTCTTTAATTTTTTGCAGGTAGCTTCATAATACATCACACCACTATTGATTGTTAAACTTACCACCGAAAACCGAAGCCGACACTTTTTTTATTACTACCCTACCCTACCACACTCTTGTTTTGTTGCAAGCAATTACATATTTGGGGGTAAGGAGGGTCAGTACTGGCACGTGTTAACGACATGGATGTTTTCAGTTTGTCGCAGCAGAGCTCTTAGTAGCTGGTGGGCCAAGAGCGAGAGGGATAACCATTGCGTTGCAGTTTCGTTGCTAGTGTGTGTGTTTCGCGCAACCAGAGTGGTTGTTGTCGTCGAACGTGAGGGTGAGAGAGAAACATCAAACTGGACTGGACCAGACTGGCCTGGGTGTGGCAATCTGCGTACATTGAAATTTACTCTTACAACGGTATTCCCATTTTACTCTATGCTATGCGCGCGCAGTCCGGTGGTGGTGGCGGCTGTGTCGGCGTCGGTTGTCTCATGAGGATTCTGGTTCCTGCGCTGATAGATAAGGGAAAAAGGTCTCTCTCTACTACATTACATGTATGTACTTGTCTACAACAATATGAAAAACTTTTTGCGACAAATTGCAATATTAACCTCTTGTTGGGCGACGGGGAGTTTATTTGCAGCGGCAGCGGTAGATTTTCCCAGGTGCCAAAATCCGGGATTCACTTTATTTTTTCCCCTCTGGCTGTAAATAGCGAGTGCTGCTTTGAGATGGAGGGCTGATCGTTTTGTGTCGGACCCATTAGGGGTGTGTGGGCAGACTGGATATTTCTCCCTGAGTTTCCTCGTATCAACCTTGATAGTGATAGCTATGTGGATATGGTATGGTATGGTACTCTACATGTAGGTAAGTACTAGATAGCTCCAGTAGCACACTGGCCTGTTTAGCGGTTACACGGCTCAATTCCATTGATTGTGTTGGCCTGCTTCCGCGGCGGTGGGTGTCATCAAAGTGGAATGGTGGAGGTAGGTCGGAGAGAGGTACTGCAGGTACATTGAAGGTACAGAGTATTTGGAGATATCTCGTTGGCCAGGGTGGAGTGAACACTTAGGGGAGTCCGGAGGAAAGCTACATACAAAGTAACTACACGTAACTACACCTAACCCTCAAGGTTTCGGGTGAGAGCATGTGGGGGCTCTACAATACCTGTCTGTACCTACGGTAGAGTACCTACCTTGCCCAGCTACATATCTTACTAAGTACGGTACGTACGCTGGTCGTGCATTTTCAGGAGAGGCTGTCGTGATGTCGTTGGGAACTACCTTGTTCCTGGTGGCTATCTCTTCTCCATGTTCATGCTGTCTCTAGATTTCTACATCATATCACAGTACATGTACGTAGAGTACAGCGATATGATGTGGAGAAAAGAGGGTAAGGAAAAAGGTAGATCCGGCAGAACGAACATGTTACTCCATGTACCTGCTCTAGGTACATGTAAAGTACCTTGCTATATATACAGCTTACAGGCCCGCCCCCCCCCTCCCTCACCCCAGAACACCCTTCCCGAGAGATTTTCATGGTGCAGGGGAAGGGCACGACCGTTGCGAGGGTGGGACGGTGATCTTCCTGGCCTGCCGTAAGGCCCAGAACCGAAAGCTGGTTATCATGTCAAATAAGATAAAACGAGAGAAAAATGTGGTGTTCACTGCTTGAGTCAATCCGTCTGTTTCGCTTCCATGCAAGTGTATCTGTGGACGTCAATCAAATCCGAACATACAGACGAGATAGTAGATAGATAGAGTGACTATGCGTATGCCATGTACCTACTCCAGTAAAAGATATCGGCCGTGCTTTCCTTCCTATCCACTCATTCATTCTCTCGCCCTCCCTCCCACTCATACTCGCTCACTCACCTCACCCTCCTAGGCATAATAATAACACTCTACTTACAGAACTACCTACTTAGATCACCCACCAGGAATTTCGTCTAATCCATCCGCTTGCTCTCCCACCTCCCCTTCCTTTCCACCTCCCTACGACGGACGAATGAACGGGCTCCTAGAGCGAGAGAAAGCGAAACCCCGCTTCAGACCAGGTATATTGGGGTCTTTGCGGCACGAATATGGAGTAACGTGCCCGTGGTGGACACATACCCTACACCTGAGGATGTATATATCCGGTGTCACTGATAAACCTCTATTATTTCCTCTCCCTCCTCCCCCGCATCTGCCACCATTCACCCCTCCCTCCCATCTTTTTTTTTTTTTTTTAGAAGAAAATCATCCTAACTAAACTACTCTTGAGAGTTTGAGACCCCTACCTGCCTTGGAGTTTCAACCCTCTCACTCGGTTTTTCCCCAAAAACCACTCCCGTTAAGGGTATCTTCCATCCGAGATGGATGGAGAAGAAGGATTAGGTATGCTAGGTAGTTCTGGGTCACGAACATGTGCGAGCGAGTATCCCCGGACAGAGAGAAACTAAATACCCGCAGTAAGAGGCGCATTCTTGGCCTTGGCCGGTACGTAACTTCGGTGTTGGTTTTCCATTTCTCGCTTCTTCCATTATCCTTCACGGCCATTCCAAGTCTAAGCTTGAGGCAATTATAATCTTTCTGACCTTCCTACGTATTGTATACAATATGTGCATGTACCACCGCTACACACATATACATATTTGGTTTATTAAATTGACACACCGAGGTAATGACTTCTTTACTTGTATGTACTTCTCCGTCCGTACCTGCCCGGAATCTCATCCGGTGTAGAGGTGGCAGTATACAAAAAAGATACTTACGAAACCTTCAAAAAGGTCTTGACCGGGATAAATCCACACCACCCACCACCACCAATATATCTACACCCAATGGCTATTCATCCAATACCCTTGGATATTTCAACCAGCCAATATGGTTCCTTCCGGCCCAACGAAGCAGAAAATAATTATTCTGGCGCCACGCCATCATCACTTTCCTCTCACTATCGCTCTCCACATATCACTTTTTGCTCCCTCCGGGGGGTTTAGGTAGGTGGTAAGTAGAGAGTGGCCTATACCATACCCACATCCTTGGGTTTTCCATGAAGCTAGAACGAGGATCTGTCCGGAAGAAGGAAGCTGCATGTCTAGCAGCCTTCTCGTCCTCGCTTCTGAGTATCTAAAATCACGTTTGTGAATGCTCATTCGACAGACGAGAATTGGCGAAAAGCAGGAGAGGAATATCCTGAGTCTTGGTGTCACCTTAATCTTCGTCAATTGTTAGCAATTATCTCCTTCCCCGGAATCTCTAAAAAAATGTGGAGCCCGTCAGATCAATAGCGCCTCTCGTGGGGGTTTTGATAGCTCTGCGAGGATGAACGTTTACGGGTCGCCTTACCATGGAAGATCTGCAGAAGTTCCGAGAGAGGTAATATCAATTTTTTTTAGACCCCACTCCACCTTGGCTTTTGGCATTGGCTGTCAGGCGATCCAATCCAGTAGGCGAACCGGCCGGCAAAACAACAAATCAGCAAACGTGTACTAATATGTACCCATGAAACAATCCCCTTCCACCACCACATAACCTCTAACCCATAACTAACCCCTTCATGTAGAGAAACTATAAATTTTTCACCACGGGCCAGGGAAGATACGGTTATGCCCCTGACCTCGCCTGGCCTGATCTGTCTCTCCTGTATGTAGGATG